ACAACATTTACTTATAACCGTGTAAAATATAACTATATGATTACCTTATATTCTGTCACATTTTTTTTATTAATATTATTTTTTACTTTTTCCCCTTTTTAAATAAATCTTTGGGATTCATTTCCCACTGCGTGTATAAAAGCCTGCAAGTTCCACCGACTTGGCCTTCGGGCCAACACGCGGTGCGGCCTGCAGGTCACAATGTAAGTGTTCCCCTTACATTGTGGGTGGTATAAAGAGCCTTTAAAAACTCTATACTCTCACAGGGTTTATAATGTTTACTTCTATGCATGGCCTGATAGTAGACATATAAGTAAGAATATGTTATAATTATGAAATCTAATTCAAATTAAGTTCAAATGATTTTTCTAATCTTATTACCATGTTTTGAAATTTATATTTTACCAAAAAACTTTAAAATTCATTGCAAACATTTCAAATAAATCACTTGATTCTCCACTTTAATCATAACATTTTATGAATATTTCATAATTATAAAATATATTATACACTTATTTATTACTATCGGGTATTCTCTGTCTATTATAGAAACAGGTAAGTTGATTTAATTTTAAATAATTATTTAATTTTACACGATTTATAATATGCCTCTTAAATATGTTTAAAGTTTAATCTTATGATTATAAGTAAGATAAAAATGTATGTTCTGGTGCCTAGCCCTTGGCCCCTTGACCCTACTAGCCACTGCTGATCCCCTGACCCTCCGCACCCGAACCCGCACCCGCACCCTCCGCACCCGGACGCTCTTCGTGCATGAGATATATATTATTCATGTTATCACTTATCAGTTATCGCTTATCATATAATATCCGCGCAAGACGTGTACAATGTTGATATATGACGGGAAAAAACAATTAACTAGGCAAATAAAAATATATTTATTTTAATAAAATATAAAAAAAATAAATATTATGTATCAAATATAACATTAGTTTTACTGTAATACGCAATCATAATAATATAAATTATATTTAATATCTTTTGAAAAAAACGACATGGTCGATTTATATGTAGGCGGCTTTTTCAAAGGACTATCGTGAGCATAGCTCGTCTTTTAGCGGCAGATATCCTTTTTGACTCTCCTTTTATGTAACACTCTTTTATTTTACCCTTATACTAGTAAGCGTGTGTGCCGTTACTCTTTTTGTCATTGGTATATTATTATTTGTGACCGATTTATATGTGGGACGAGTGTAGATGGGTAAGGGTTAACGGGAACCTGGGAACTGCATTGTTCTTTGGTGGCAGATAACCTTTTATGTAAGAAAGTAACACTCTTTGCTTTTACCGTTAAACCGCTTTCTTAGACTATAGTCCTCTCTTGTGTCATTGGTAATTTATAGCGCTCGCCGACCGCAGTGTAGAAATGTTATGATTTGAGAAGACAGGTGTTCAAACACTGCCGATACGGGATGCTGACCAGTGAGTGTAGAAGGCTTTTTTCAAAGGATTATCGTGAGCATGGTTCGTCCTTTGGCAGGCAGATATTCTTTTTGACTCTCCTTTTATATCACACTCTTTAGTTTTACAGCTATACAGCTTTCTCAGACCATAGTCTTCTCTTTATTGTTGTATTTGATGTGACCGATTTATATGTAGGACGAGTGTAAGCGGTTAAGGTTTAACGTGAACCTGGGAACTACGTTGTCTTTTGGCAGCAGATAACCCCCTCCCAGTTTGATCAGCGCATGCGTAGATAAAATGTCCTAAAACATCTAGAGACTCTTGACTGTAAGAGTTGGCAGTCGTTTATCTACCATAATCCGTAGTTAACGTAAAAATTGCTCGTTCTGTCTTTAAAATATTTTCGTGAGGTTTTATTTTACTGTTTAAAATAAATATTAACATGGCTGGTTCGATCAAAAACATGGCTGTCGTATACCCGAAATAATTTAAATATATTCCACCTACGTCGCAAGCTGAACTCGTCGAATCCGCAAGCTACACACTTTATTTTGCAGCCCGTAAGTTTGTGTATATCGGTATTGACCCGACTGAAAAGTAACAAGTCGTTGTCCATTTATTAACTTCATCATGACATGTCAAAATAACACCAGAATCTCTAAGACGCATATTTTCGCTGATGTGGAATATTCTGTCATTCGTATTGGAGCAACCCGAGAAATATAAGCGTATTTTATTTTTGGAAACCAAATTTTATAAAATATCCAGCATGATCCACAGCGGTAAAGATGTTCTTGTAATTGAATCAAAAACCGAAGACGGATGCAGAGTACTCTTAAATCGAGCTGATCTTATCATCTTCAATATCTCGAATGCTGTATTTTCGAGAGTATTGTGTGTAAAGAAATATACACCGCTCCATTATGTATAAAACAGACTGATAAGTTTGCGGCATACCTATGTGAGAAATGCGATCTCCTTAGACCACCACCGAAAAATTTAGAAGAGATAATAACATTCGTTAAGAACGTGCCAGACGATGGAACGGAGAAAACTTGTCCAAACTTGGTCGGCCAAATACAAATGTGAGCAGCTGTTCAACTAGCAGAATCTGTGCTAAACCAGATGTCGCATGAGGTAATTCATAAATATATATTATTATTATACACGGAAAAAAATAAAATATTTAATAAAAAAAATTGTTTTAGTCACAGAATCGTGAAATTGATTCACTGAAGTCACCATGCTTTCACCTATATCTAAACATACACGACGATCCACTACTCAGATATGCTACACTTAGACAGTCAGAGGTAATTTACATAAACATTTTTGTAAATAAAAACAATATTTATTTTTCACAGCAAAGTATAAGAATCCATGTTTTGAACGTTAATTCTAATCTCCTCATTATATGATAGAGCTGTGTTTGAATACGGCGTGAACGAATGGTAACTTTTTTGTGTTATCTTACAATCGTTGACATAGTCGGCCGTCACGTCTAAATATGAGTCATCCATCATTGCAAAGAACGAAGAAAATTTAAATTATTTTTTGTGAGCTTGATCTCGAGTTTTTTCGGTTTAGATGTAGACTTCTTAACGGCAGGCGGTATACTGAGAGGTTTTTTGATTGTAGCTCTTTTTAAATTAAATTTGAGTGCCATATCCAGGCGTTATTCGTAAATGAACTGTTATCGGTTCACCACGCAGATTAATTAGACAATTGTTCTGATATTTTAGCACGATATTTACCTTAGTTATTAAAGTCGTGTTGAGACCATAAAAAACTGGATGCCTAGGTACCTCAACGATTTTATATCCCGCAGGTACAGTAGGATAAAGCTCGTGTATGATCTGGCTCGGTGCTCCGTCACAGAATGAGCTGGTTATTAAATTACACTCTACTTTTATACAGTTTATTTTCATTATGTTTACTATATTTTCCGATTCTTGAGCAGCACCAGTAGTTTATACTACATTTCTAAAACCTAGCAATTTCGCTACGCTATTTTCGACCCCTAAATCGACTTCATGTAGCACGATATCGTACACTTAAATGTTCTGCTGTTTGTTTTTAATTCAAACATACTGATATAGTCGGGCATCATTTTTTGTATAATTGACTCCAACTGATCCAACTTATACGTCCCCGTAGGTATAATTACGTACTCGGTTGAATTCAGTCTCATTCCTGCGCTCGTCGGGATACGACGTGTGTAATGTACATTAGTGTCTTATCTTATTATTTACCCACYGTTCTAAATTTTAAAATAATGATGTCTAACTGTTTGAAGTGCAAGAAAACGGTAATTTCGGAAGACAAAATTGTTTGTTCTGAGTGCGATAACAATTATAATTTCACCTGTGGAGGTCTAAATACGCTATCTTTCCGAAAACTTTCTAAAAATACAAGAACCAGATGTGTCTGCAACGTATGTAAATGGGATATCTCAAAGAATAATATGGATACCAATCAACAGATTTCACATTACAAGACCTGGCTAATTCAGTTAAATTTATGGGTGAAAAATTCRATGATTTCAACGGTACTGTAAACAAATTACTTGAAGAAATGAAAGAAATACGTAAAGAGAACACACAACTTCATGAAAACAATAAGAGGCTTTCTCAAGATATTGAGAATCTCAAATATCGATTAGATAGCATTGAACAAAATAATCTTAATTCAACAATAAAAATATTTGGTATACCTAAGGTAACCAATGAGAAATGTATAGATACAGTAACACAACTTGCGACAGTATTAAACACAGTCATAACCGTAAAGGAAGCTTATTGCGTTTCTATTACGGTGAATGGTGAACATAATATTATAGCCCGTCTTGCAAAGCCGGGTATGAAAAATGCCATAATCACTAACTGTAAACAAAATAAAACATTAAATCTATCCAACATTAATCCCGAGTGGTCTAATGATAAACGACTATATATAAATCAGCATCTCACTAAACATAAAAGACAATTACACGGTAAAGCTAGAGCCACACCAAAATAAAAGGTTACAAATACATATGGATCAACCAGGACGCAGATATTTTAATCAGAAAAGACGAAAATACAAAGGTACGAAMAATTTTTACTGAACAAGATCTTCTCCTACTTCAATATCTCTCCGATAAATATAACTTTAGATTATTAATCTTGTTCTAATGAAACCCAATTGCTTGTACTACAATCACCGTATAGTTATTATCTGTTTTATTTTGTTATTAAAGATTATTCCACACTATATTTACGTAAACTTTGAATCAATTTGTATCCACCATTCATTATTTAATTCAATTTATATATATACATATATATATATATACTACCTATACCACACTGATATAACTTTATCTAAAACAAAAATAACCATCTCTTTATATCACAGTTATGGCTCATTACAATATATTATTTAATAATATTCTATCAAAACAATACCTAAATGATAAAATATACGTTCACGAATTAAAAAACAAAATAAATAACATAGACACAAGTTTTAATTTAATCAACATGAATATCTGTGGTATAAATAAACACATAGCTGACTTATCTTGTATAATTAAAGTAATCGGAAATCATGTTCATATTATCTCATTATCTGAAGCATGGCTAAATAAACATTTTGATAAAAAKTTCGTATTTCTAAATAATTACCAAATAATCCATACAAATAATAACATTAACAAAAGTGACGGAGTTGTTCTGTTCATTAGAAACGATTGCATATTTACATACAAAGAATTAATATTTTCCGAAGCTAACTGTATAATAACGAATACAAAAATAAACAAGCACAATTACTGTATAATATCATTATACAGATCCCCAAATGGTAATGGAAACGTCTTTTTAGAACAGTTAAATATCTTCTACCTAAATTAATACATGATAACAAGAATATGAACATAGTTTTCTGTGGTGACAAAATATTAACTTACTAAACAATGATATCTGACTAATAACTACGTTAGTTTAATGTCACACTATGGATTTACCTCATTTGTTAACTCTCCTAATCGTATCTGGGATGGGGGTGAATCATGTGGTCAATTGACCACAAGTAGTATAAATGTACCATTCCTGGCACAGTCCTTAAATCCATCAGTAAAAGATCACAAAGAAAACAATGTGCAAAAAGATCAGACAATTGAAATGCAATAATTATTAAAATATTTTTCGCAAAACTTATAATATTAATAATTAAAAATTGAAATGCAATATTTCCCCAAAAATATTTTTCACAAAACTTATGAAATTA